GATTTATTTGATGGCTTATGTGATAGGGGCTAGGGAATCTAACTGTGGCTATCTGCACACTAGACTGGCTAATATCTCGTTAGCTGCTCAGGCATAAAGCTGGATGCCTTAGCAGTCTCACTTGGGTGCCCAAGTCCTGAAAGCTTCCTAAGTTGATGCTGGTTTTTACTGTGTGGAAAGGCCAAAGAAGTTGAGTTCTGATGTCAGTGAAGGAGGTGGAAGTTGTAACATCAAGATAGATGTAGTCATCACAAGGACTGTAACAGTGGGTGGGCTATGCAGGCCTTGGACTACTCTAGGCTGCTACTGAAAAGTACTTCCTTCTTGAGGGAGGGTCTTCCCCATTCAATTAATCCTTCCTGGGAATGCCCTCACAGGTCTACCTAGAGGCATGTCTCTTAGTTGATTCCAGATCCAGTCAAGCTAACCATCAGTATTAACCATCACAAATACCCATTTCAGGAGCTTGCTTTGAGTAATAAAGTAAGTGAGGAACATTTCAAAATGCCTGGCGTATGTTAGGATGTAGATATTTGTGGAAAGGTTAAAACTTGCCACTGGTCACATGTCAGCTCTATTGCAGGTTCCTACAGATTTTTCTGAGTGTGGGTCTCCTCGATGGGATTTCTGTAGAGCTGGTGATTTACAAGGTGAAGGCCCAGAGAGTGTTGAGCTAAAAAAGAAAAAAAGCTTTTAAGAAACATATCCACTACAGGAATTTTAGTATGCTGTATGTTGTCCCAAACCTATTTAGTGCAGGTTAGAGATGCTGTGTCATCAATCTGCATATAAACATGTGCCTCTTTACAAAAACCCCAGAGACAAATTACAAATCATGACCTGTGAATGAACCTAGGGCATTTATGCTTCCTCTTGGACAAGTTCCAAGATGCCATTAAACAGTCTTGCATTTACTCATTGGTGGATTTTAAGCACAACTGTGCCCTGACTCACCATGCCAAGGAATAGTGGTTAAGAATTGATCTGCTTGTTCCATATAGGACAGCAAAATACAGTAAAATCACTGAGAGAGGATAGGCATAACAATGAATATACTACTACTGCAGATGTTGCTTATCTTAGTCTGCTTGAGCTGTATAACAAAATATCCTAGTAGGCAACTTAAATTACACAAGTTTGTTTTTAGTGAATCCTGAAATTGAGAAGTCTATGATCAAGGTACAGGGAAAGTAAGTTCCATTCTGGGCCTCTTCTCTTGAGATGTAGACATACATCTTCTTGCTGTGAACTCACATACCCACTTTTTACATCAGAATGCAGGGGGAGCTCGGATGTTGTCTCTTCTTATTTATTTAGCACATAAATATCTTTATCAAGGGTATTTCCCTCACCTTTGCTCCTAAACCTGATAATTTCCAAGGGCTCCATTTCCAAATACTACCATATTGCAGTTTGTGTTTCCATGTATGTTTAAGTGAGGGTGAGGGTTCAAACATTCAACCCATAAAAGCATTCAGAGTGTCAGAAGATGTGGGGAGGGGGGATGTGGCCACAATTGCAAAAAGATATATTACTGTTTTAACTTGACTGTTCATTCATTTATCTCAAAATGAGTTGATTTTCTCATGGAAACATTCTTCCCTACTCCAAATCACACCTAATCACTATAAAGACAAGTTGAACATTAGGCTTTGAGAATTATTTTATAATGCATCTTATCACTTACATGTCACCTACCCATTACCAAATACTGTGATTTTGAATGAAAAAAATCACTCTGCACTTTAGTCTTAGCAGAGACTGTAATATATGAAGCCAGAAATAGCTGGAGAAGACTGTGTATGAAGACTCTAGTACATAATAAGTAGGTTTCTTTTCTTTTTTTTAAATCCATTCACACTATAGATCAGACATCCGTAGAGGGTTTTCACCACCAACTTATTTAGCACAGACGTTCATGGTTTATTCTTCTAGCTATGCCATTTTGAATATTTGTATTCCATAAGCTGAACTTTGTTGCAAGTATAGTTTCTGTAATTCTTCATGGTAGAAATTTCTCTGAATGGACACACCAACATGATCTTTTAACTTTCCATGGATCTTTGTTCTGAGAACAGCTGTCTCCATGAATATTTCATTAGTAAGTATTTACTCTTAGCACTCCAATTTTCATTGTCTCTTAAACAATTGCATTACCCTCATTCTGAATAACTAGGCTTATTGACTTCTCTATTACCAGATATCATTTTCTGTTTACCCTATGACTATGTAGATTAACACAGAAGTTATGTCTAAGTAAAAACAAGTATGTGTTCTTGATGTGTTACATTTGATGTCACAACAATAATAGGGATTTATCAAATAGTGGAATAGGAAAAGGCCATAAAATACAAAAAAATCCACAAGAATTCAGGAATATATTCACCCAAAAGACAAAAATTGGGGAACTCCAAATGTCCTCAAATGTCTAGATGGTGACTTGAGCTCTAAACCTCAGTTTGCTTACTCTCTTCCTAGATATGTCAGGCTAAAGTCCTTTCTGATACCAACCAAGTTGTCTGATTGTTAATGAGCCTTCTCTTAGGAACTGTGGAGTTCTCTGAGTCCTTACAAATATCTGCTGAATGTGTTGTTGAAAGCTATATCCAAATAATTGATCCATATACTCATAGGACCTTATGACATGCCACTTTCCTGCTTGAAGTAAGTCACTACCCTTTAGTTATTTTTGTCATTTAACATGTTGTCTTTTGTACAGTCTACATGTCTACTTTTGGGGTTGTGGATATAACTTACTTGTAGGATCTTCTCTTAGCATGTGCAAGGTTCTGAACTTGATCCCTAGAACTATAAAAACCATTAGTTACTTTCTGTCTACCAGGATTCCCTGAAATCCCACAGCAGAACCTAAAATTATAGGAACAAGAAACAAAACTCCTTAAGAAAGTCACCAGGACTGAAAGGTACCAATACTATTTCACCTCTTAGTTGTATTTTCTAGTTATCAAGGACATGGCACACACTACACAATTGGTGCTATTCTGGAATTTAAGCCATCTTCCTACTTACAGCAGGCCATTTGGATCTGTGTGCCTTTCTATAATTTGGAGCTGTTTAGTTTTGGCATACATTCAAGAATATTCTGTTGCTCAGGTTCTATGCTTAGTAGGTGCATTCTATATTTAGTTTGTGGAGAAGAGTAGGGCTAGTGGCGGTAGGAGGTAAGAGAAGATCCTACAGGGAATACATAGTTATTGACTGACCTTTGGAAATGGAAAGTAATTGTCTAATCTTTTATTTCAAGCCAGAGAATCCTATATTATAACCAATCAAGATATTAAGCTTAGTTACTAACCTTGATAAATTCATTTTCTCAGTAATTCAGGTAATTGAGTATCAATTTATGAGATTCACCATTATCAGTAAAATTAATACAACAGATAAAAATTATCCTCATTCAGGTATTATTTATTAACACTATTTGAAATATTCTCTTAAAATTTGTTTCTCAAAAATTAACTATGCCAAAAAGAAAAAAAATGTTCAGTATCTGCTAAGATGCTGAGTAAACTATGTAGCGAATATGTGTATACATGCTGTGATGGTTTGAAGGAAAATGGCCCCCAAAGAGAGAGGCATGATTAGGAGGTATGGCTTTGTTGTTCTTGTTGGAGGCAGTGTGTCACTGTGGGGGTAAGTTTTGAGGTCTCCTATACTCAAGCTACTCCCAATGTCACAGTCCACTTCCTGCTGCTTTCTGATTAAGATGTAGCCAGCACCATGTCTGCCTGCATGCTGCCATGCTCCCTGCCATGATGATAATGGACTGAACTTCTGAATCTGTAATCAAGCCACCCCAATTAAATGGTTTTTTTTATATCAGAGTAATTGTGCTCATGGTGTCTCTTCAGAGTCATAGAAAGCCTAACTAAAACATATGTAATTCCATGCATGTGCACTATTTACCTTAGTTATTTTAGAGTTATATAGGCATATACTTAGCACTTAGCTTAGGTAATAAATGCTGCCTTATATTGTATTATTATGTCATTAAAATATATTCCCTGATCCTTCTACAGAATTCCCCTTAACTGGAAAGTTCCAGTGGAGGTCATCCAGGATTATGAACAAAACAAAATAATTATGGATACCATATAGGGAAGTCCTGTGGTCATGGGGTGGGGTGGATGCTTTGGGTAGAAAGGCCATCCAGCATGTCTGAGAACAACTTTGCTTATGTCATTGGTCTGCAGAGGTGGCCCTGGCATCATCACTGTTCAGAACATGGAAATTTGTATATCCAGCAACTCTCCATCTTTCATTTTCAAAAAGGATTTATTTTTATCCCCAAAACTTCATTTCAATTTACTTGTCTAAGGAGTCCTGCTTCTCTGGCAGCTTTCCTCTGGTTGCATTAGTTGGGGACCTCTCTGAACACCTCTGCTTCGCTGCCAATCTGTTAAAATGACAGTATCTGAGAGATAACCTCTCTGGAAAAAATCAGAGGATCTCTTGGGAATAACTTTATTTATTATTTTTTTTTAAACACAGCCTTTCCCAACCACTTACCACTTTCTCCCGAATACTTAACAAAGAGAAACAGCTTTATGGACATCTCTCCTTGTGTTTCCTTTTCAGAGTCTGTAACACCATTTATTGCTATACAAGATATGGGGGGCTGTTTGGGTGGAACAGTGGCTTGGAGATGTTGCCCTTGCCCAAAAAGGTCCCGTCTTTAATATCCCGAGTAGGAGGTGTGTAGAAATGTGAACCTGATATAAAAGGATCTCACGGTGCAGTATGAATGATGACAGCGTTTTTAATTGAGAAGAGTGTTGCTGTGTGTGAGCCAAGAGAGTCTTTCTGCAGCTGTGGGGAGCAATTTCCTCTAAGTTTCATCCGGCAAGCCCATCATCAGGTGAGTGTCTTCTGGGCTGCCTGCCAGTTCTTGGATGGCTTATACGTTTGCCTGAGCTCTGACTGCTCACCCTACAGTGCTCTCTGAACAGAATCAGCCAGAGTGACTCACTCAGAAAACTGTTACCTCATTTTGTCCACTTCTATTGTGTGGGCTGAAGGTTGACTTTAGCTGGGAGACAAAAGTGGGGATCAGAAATAAGGTGACTAATTGAGGATCTCAATTACAAAGCGACACATAAGAACATTAGAGGCCTTTGAGAGGAAGGTAAGGTCAAGGGTGTGCCCTCTGCTGGACTTTGCCACATGGCACTTGTGAGTCACAGGCTAAGCTGGGGGCAGGCTCGGTGAGTTCCAGGGGGCCGTGGCAAGGATGTGAAGATGTTTGAGTAAACAACCTGCAATGATGTCTCATGTTGCTATCATTCATACTGTGGTGTGAAACTTCTTTAGTTTTATATTTCTGCAAAGTTGTATCTCAGAGAAGAGTAAGAATGATCCTTGTGCCTGGTGGTGATGGCACAGCACATGCCTTTAATCCCAGCACTTGGGAGGCAGAAGCAGGCAGATCTCTGTGAGTTAGAGACCAGCCTGGTCTACAAGAACTAGTTCCAGGACAGGCTCCAAAGCTATACAGGGAAACCTTGCCACAAAAAAACAAACAAACAAAACAAAAAACAAACAAAAGAATGGCCCTTATTTTTGCTGAATGGAAGGCAGTAACCTTTAGAAATGCCTTCACTGAGTGGCTCTCCTGATGCCGGTGTAGTCCATATACAAGCTAGAATCTGTCATTTCCTTACAAACAAGACTGCTCAAAACCTTCATGCTTTAAAGTCTAGCTTCTAGCTTTTGTGTGTGCTGTTTTTGGTCCTGCCTGTTGTACTCAGATGAAACTCATTTATGTGTTTCTATCATTCTTCACATATTATCAACCAAACTTTTGCTGGGCACTGTTCTGGTTATGAAAAGGATACTCAAGAAGGGAGTTTGCATTCTCCTGGAGGAACAAAGCACCTGTCAGAGATAACACAGAAGACAAAGAAGTCCTGGGAAGGAAATATGCTGATGTCATAAAGCTATTGAAGGTAGTTGTTGTTGTTATTATTATTATTATTATTATTATTATTATTGGTTTTTCTAGACAGGGTTTCTCTGCAGCTTTGGAGCCTGTCCTAGAACTTGCTCTGTAGACCAGGCTGGCCTCGAACTCACAGAGATTCGCCTGCCTCTGCTAGGATTAAAGGCATATACCACCACCACCCGGCTGGAAGGAAAGTCTTTAGAGTTTCAGTAAAGGTCTTTTTGGGTTGCTGACAATGATTTCTAAGTTGATAACTGAGCTTCATTGACCAGTGACTAAGAACAGACACCAAAAGAGTGCTGGTGGTGCTATGTATGTCATAGAAGGGGAGAAGTACAAGTGAGAACTACAAGGGAATCAGGGCAGAGCAAAGGCTGTGGGGACCAAAAGGACGGGGTAGATGGGTTGAAGTACCCACAAAGCCAGAGTGGGTTTATGGATGGATGAGTGGAGACTGGAATAGGATGACTGCACAGATGACAAGAACTGGAACATGTAGGTCTTCAAAGATACCTGAAAGAATATTTTTATCCTAACTGTGTAGAAAATTGTCAAAATGAAAGTGACTCAATATAATGTATCTTTTAAAGGATCCCTCTGAGAGTATGTGGGAAATGAAATAGTAAAAGCCAGGGCACTAGTCAGAAGACTATTGAAGTTGAATATGCAGAAGGTTATGGTATTTGTGGTGTTTGAATAACCCTCATAGGCTCATAGATTTGAATGCTTGGTCATCTGGAGTGGCACTGTTTGAGAAGGATTAGAATGATTAGGAGGTGCGATCTTGTTGGAGGAGGCATATCCCTGGGAGTGGGCTTTGAGATTTAAAATGCTTATACCAGGCCCAGAAGTCTCTCTCTCTCTCTCTCTTTCTCTCTCTCTTTCTCTCTCTCTCTCTCTCTCTCTCTCTCTCCCTCCCTCTCCCTCCCTCTCCCTCCCTCTCCCTGCCTACAGACAGGATATAGCTCTCAGCTACTGATCCAGCACCTGCATGCATGTTGCCTTCCTCCCCACCATGTTGCTAATTGGATTAAACCTCTGAAACTGTAAGAAAGCCCCAAATTAAATGCTTTCTTTCATAACAGTTGCCTTGGTCATGGTGTTTGCTTTACAGCAATAGAAAGGTGACTAAGACAGTGCCTTAGTCGGGGTACCAAGTAGAGATGAGGAAGAAGTAGGGATTTAGATGTGTTTGAGGGGTAGGGAGAGTAGAGTTATTAGGGTCTACTGATGGAGTAAATACAGAAGAAGGAACAGGAAATATTAGTGGTGTTATATGCTAAGATGGGAACAGATTTGGATAGAAAAATAAATTATTCTTAGGATATGTTTAGAGATAATCATTAAACATCCAAGCAAAGTGGTATGTGGTATATTCAATACACATCCAAAAGTATCTCATAAGCCTTCTTATAAAGGATAGAAAATTAAAAACATTATTTACCAGTTTTTTCAAGCTAGATTTGCAGATAAAATGTAGGATCTTCAGTCAGAGGCACTCATGAAGGGGGAGGTGAGCCCTTGATGACGGTAGTTATAACACAGGAGGCTAGAGGTTCTGAGTAGCGATGGATTACTGAGGACTTAAATTGCTCTAGATGACTAGCAGAGGACTTCTAACTACAGCATTTCACAATGAGGTTGGTTTCTCCTGAATGCATTATTTCTGGCCATGAAGCATCCAGACCTGGTTCTGCAAGGAAACAGCTGTAGTTTCAATGTGTCCCATATACAATTCAGGTCTTGTAATTGAAATGGTGTTAAAAGGTAGTGTCATTAAGAAGTAACTAGATCACGACGACATTTTTAAAAATTAGATTTCTGTCGTGTGTGTGTGTGTGTGTGTGTGTGTGTGTGTGTGTACATGTATGCACACATGCTATGGTGTAAAGGTCAGAGGACAACATTCCCCATCATCCTTCCACCTTATGGGTCTTGAAAATTGAACTTAGGTTATCAGGCTTAAAGGCAGGTGCTGAGCCATCTTGCTGACCCAATGAAGGCTCTTTCTTTATTAGCAGTACTACAGTTCTTATAAAGGAGGCATCACAACGTGGTCAGTTAGCTGCTTTCCTGCCTTCTGTCAGTAAGGTGGACCTCTCCAACAGTTATCTTATAGTTCCAAGGCTTGGAAATGTGACTATTTTTCCTTTTTAAATTTCCCATTCTTAGCTATTCTGTCAAAATAGCACAACTAGAATAAAACACCACTCAATAGCTTATATACATTCTTGTCTTATTTAAATTAGCTTAAAAGAAGATTCTGCTACATTCAACTAGAGCACCCAGATTGATCCCCATGTCAGCTTGATGATAATAAAGCCTAGCATTAGGTCTCCTGCTGTTAGACTGGCACAAGTTCAAAGCCTGTTCAGGACACAATAGTTGTGGGCCAATCGGCCATCCTGTCTGTCTTCAAACTGAACAGCCCTAAGTTAAGGGAGGAAGACTCTTCAGAGACTTAAAAGTCCCCAGCTCTCCAGTCCCCCAGTCCCCCTTATTATCCATTTTATAAAGAAAGATCAGGAGTTATGAAAGTGTCCTTGACTTGCCTGTGCTTATTTGCTAATAAATGTGAGGCACACTTTGACTACCAGGTAGTCTCACTGTGTGATCTGAGAATTTAACAACTCTGTACAGTAGAAAGAACCGTGCTGCCCATTAAGTTTACCAGTTACATGTCACTACTCACCTTAGGCATCATTAAAGTCATATGAAATAAAGAATTTGGCCCTTCAGTTGCACTTAGCTATGTGCTAAAGAGTGACATGTGGCTAGTGGCTACTGGATTGGATGTAGACCACTTACTTTCCCAGCTGAAGAGAGTTCTATTGGCTGCACTGTTATGAAAGGAGCTCTTTAGCTCACAGTCTGTTTAATACTTCTGTTACTGTCTAGGGTTCATTTTCTCTGCCAGTTAAAGAATTAAAGGGCAGGAAGAATCTTGAGTCCATCGGGTAGCAGAGAAGCAATCTCAAACACAGAAAACAGGAGCAGATGGAATCAGCAGATGAAGAAAAGCTTTTATGGGGGTGAAGAAGCACACACATGCAGTAGGCACATAGAGAAAAGACCCTCTGCAAAGCAGAAGTGGAAAACTCAGTCTCTTCTACAGGGCTGGGGACTTTAAGTCTCTGGAGAGTCTTCCTTCCCTAACTTAGGGCTGTTTTGTTTGAAGACAGACAGGATGGCTGATTGATCCACAACTATTGTGTCCCGAACAGGTTTTGAACATGAGCCAGTTTAACAGCAGGAGACCTACTGGTAGAAGAAAAACAAAACAAAACAAAAAACCCACAAGGCCTTTGTTTTAAACTGCCAGATTTTTATCTCAGGTTGGGAGGGTGAGGAAGGAGTCAGCCATCTTAGGAGTTCATCATCTTTATTATCTATCCACAGCCCCTCTCCCTGTCTGTCTACCTACCAGGGAGTCTGTCTAAACTTCTAGTCTCTCACATTAACACCACAGAATCATGGAAAGAGGTTTTTGAAGTGTTCACTCTTTAAAGCTGTCCATCATATAGCTCACAGTAGAGGACTGGAAGAAATAAGAACATGGCAGTGGAATGGCTTCTGTGCTAACATACTAGAGCACTTTAGAATCATTTTCATGAAGAGACATTCAGGTCTCTCCTCACTTTTGACTTGATCTAACCACATCTATTGAACAGGATTCTACTGTTCTCTGGCTGGCCTTGAATTAGAAGATGAAAAGCCAGCTAGAGGTAGATACATTGACAGTGGCTAGAAGAAATTGTCAAGACTCAGAAACACCATTTTGAGGTTCCGTGAGGAAGGAAGTGGATAGTCAGAAGTGATGGAGCAGGAACTCCACAGCAGGGCCAGCAGGGCCAGCAGTGTGGGGGGTCAGCAGGCTAGCTCACTGGGGTCTGTACTCAGGACAAAGCTCACTGTGAGGAATGTTGCTTTGGTGGTGCCTAGGAGTCACTGAGAGCATTAGAAAGAAACTGCCCATCCATGAGGGCCTCTCCAAAGTATGCCTTTATTTTAAATGTGTTTAAGCAACACTGGGGATTTACCTTGACAAAACCTCTCAGGATCTGAGAGCATTGATGATTTTACTGTAGTTAGCATGACAAGGAAGTTTTAAGGACCTGTATTTCTACCTTCTTTGCCTTGTGCAATAGTGCTGTCAGGCGAGACTGATGGGGAGAAGTCACCTTGGGTCCTGGGAGTCTGAAGAAAAAGGTTTTAATCTCAGAGGAACTAACCTGAGTAATTGCTGACTTCACTCAGTCACTCACTTGGGACTCTCCACCTCTCAGAGGGACCAGCCTAGCTCTGGGCCACTGTGCTTTACTCACTCTCTGGCAGATATGACAATCTAGAAAAAGTATTCTCCAGAAGGAACTTCCGTTGGTTTGATGTTAGTTTGATTTTTATTTCTCTTGTGATGAACAGTAGGAATCAGCCTAAGTAAGAGAACGCAGGGATTGGAAGGCTCTGTGAAGACTGCATTTCCTCCGATTAGGCTAGTCTTTCACCTGGTCTGGAAAAAGAGAAAACAACGTGCAGATGCGTGCTGTAAATCTGGTGCAACGAGAAAGGACGGGAGGAGCAAGCACCTTCGCAGGGCTTGGAGCAGAGGCTTCCTCTGCAGGCAGTTACATACTGGGATGGGTGGAGGGTAAAGTGATTGCAAACCTGGAGAAGCAGGGGTGGCAGAGGGAGGCTGGAGGTATGTTGAGTGACTCTGAATTTGAGAGCCACAATTAGACTCTGGATTTGCTTCACTTCTCTTGGGTCCTGGGTCCTAGACACAATGGAGGATTACCATAACAAATGGTAGACTCCCAACTCCCTTTTCCTTGCTTTTTGGTTTATCTCCCATTCTGGCCTCCACCCTGCTGCTCCGTACATGAAATTAGAGGACTCGTCTTAAAGAGTGATAAAGAAACCCAAAAAGAAGACTTGTAACAACTGGCAGTGTGAGGTTTTACCCGATAATACGTTAAAGTTAACATCTGGTAACTATAAACTACAGTCCACACACAAACAACTCTCCTGTCCTTACAGCGTAGGGCTTCACAGCCCCCTCTTACATATGAATCAGCAGAGAAGGACTGGAAATGCAAAGACCAACCCTAACAGAGAAAGAACAATAACCTATTTTCAATACTCCGGGAGAGCTAGGATACACTGAACTTTAAAAAAAAAAAAGCCTATAAAAAGGAATATTGAGAGATAAATAAGGCTTTTGAAAACTAAAAATGATTAAGAGAGTTTTAAAAGTATACATTTAAACAAGAGAAACTCCCTCCAAAGTCTGGAGAGACAGGCAGGCAGCCTGATCTAGAATTATTCCCAAAGAGCCACTAGTAATCCATAGTTGTGAACATGCTCCATAAAAATAAAGGAGTAAATTGATGAGGGGCAGATGGGATCCAAGGAAAAGGAATACCAGTAATGCATACCTCAAATACGCATTTGACACAGAGATTACTGTAGTGAGAGCATATGTGGGATTGTTTTTATTTGGGGAACAGGGTGTATACAGACTTGTGTTAAGTCCATCACTGTGATACAAGACTGTCAGGACAGGAGTTTTTCTTGAATTCACTATGAATTCCTGTGTCTAAGACAATACCCTGCACATTGTAGGTCCTCAACAAATGCACATTGACTAAAGGAAACCTGATATGGAATATTCCTTCTGGGAAATTTGTTAAGAGCCAGCTAGTTAAGAAACTGTATTAATTATTTTTCTTGTTGCCCTGACAAAATCCACTTAAGAGAGGAGGTTTCTTATGGCTTACATTTTTTTTTTTTTTTCAAGACTGGGTTTCTCTGTATAACAGCACTGGCTGTCCTGGAACTACCTCTGTAAACCAGGCTGGCCTTGAACTCACAGAGATCCACCTGCTTCTGCCTTCCAAGTGCTGGGATTAAAGGTGTGCACCACCACCACCTGGCATAAGGTTTACATTTTAATAAGAATTTTTCTATCATGGAGAAGTAGGCATGGCAGCAGGAGCTTGAAGCAGCTGGTTACAGCTTGAGGCAATAGGAACTTTCAGTCAGGAAGCAGAGACACATGAATACACCTCCTGCTCTGCTGGCTTTCTGCCTTTGACAAAGCCCCCGAAATGGTGCAATCTACATTTGATATGGGCTTTCCCTCTTCAATTCCTGTAATCTAGAAAACTCCCTCATAGATATGTTGGGAATTTGTTTTCATGGTGACTCTAGATCTCATCAGGTTGACAGTCAAGACTAACCATCACAGATACATTATCAGAACTCCCAACGCCAGACAGCACAAAGTTATACCAAGCCTTTCCATGGCTTAAAACTAATGATTTGTGAAATATTTAAGCTGAGCATCAAAATATTGAAGAGATTTTTTTTAAAGGCCAGATGTGTTCCTAGGAAAGTATTCTTTATGCTAGTTAGGTTGATGGGAGACAGCTTGAAGCTCAGGCCAGTTCCAGAGAAATCAAGATGCAATTTCCTCCACTTATAAAGCAAATTACCTTACTGACTTTTCTTCTTGTTCATTCACTAATATAATTCCAAGCTGGGTTGTTTTGCTTTTTAAGCTGGTGGACTCTCCTGAGGAGAACTTCCTCTGACAATAGACTCCAGAAAGTTTCTTCAGTACACCCATTCCTCTTATTAAATAAAAAGGTGTGTGCTTCCACCTAATGACTCAAAATTGGGTCTGCAATCTAGTTTAATTTGGCTATGAATTCACTGTCCAACTCTTGTCTAATGACCTCTAAAAGTGTTCATTGACTCACTGTTTCACTCTTTCTGACTCCACCAATTTGTTCTGTATATACTATACTTCATTTACTAGCTAAGGGGAATAAAAAAAAAAGGTCAAATAATTATGGCTAACTGGCTGAACTGGCGATACTTATATTTGTTGGAGGTCAGGGATGTTGGATACCTGTACAGAAACTACTGCATATTCCACCCTAGTTAGTCAGCACCAGTCTGGGGGCTGTGTGGAGAGCACATGCATGTCCGGGGAATGTGCCCTGGCTGCCCTCTGTCTGTCTCAACACTTCTGAAGAGTCCTAGTGTTGCAGATCTTGTCTTTGGAGACTATGTGGGCCTCCCACTCTAATCTTAAAGGCTCCATGTTCCCCCAAATAAATATTTTGGAGGCTTCTCAGGAGACTGGTCAGGATTCCCAATATTCCTCATGCATGTTACTGATTACTGGGTCAGGCTGCAGAACTGGGGGTTGGGAGTATCTTCATACAGTGATGGCCCATGCCCTGTGGAGAATGATGCTACTGGGAATTACTGGACCACAAGCTTTGCCAGACCCCAAAGACAGTGACAGTAGTACAGGGGCTGGTGATACAGGATACAGATACTCTTCACAAACTTACCTTTCCAGTCCACAGCCACTCTCTAGTTCCCAAACCCAGAAGAGCAGAGCAGATGTCACCCTATTATTTGCAGGACTTTTGGAGAGCAGACCCTCAAATAGCGGCCATGTGCATGATTCTCCTTTCATTCAGAAGTAAAGGCAACCAGAGCCCTTGCTTTCACGAAGACAATCCTTTAGAGAGTATTGGGCATTCATTACAAAGCCATCCTGTGCCTCTGCTGGCTGCAACTTTGATCTACATCTAGTTTCACTACAGCCTTCCTGGGGGAACTGCCTCTGGTTATGCCTCATGCATTGCTCATGAAGATTGGAGGCCAGGACTTTTTCTTGGGGGAGGGTGGCATCGTCTGTCCTTGCTCCAACAACTAGGTCATGGTACAGAAAAATGACTTAGAGGATGTGGGTAAACATACCTAAGTTTCTCTTTGATTCCCAGAAGCTGAAGGCCAGGTGTGGACGGACCTTCACAAGCCTCAGGATAGTCTTTCCTACACGTTGCTAGAATCCCCAGCACTCCCTGGGCCCTTGGAGAGTTGTACAGCAATTAAGCTATGACAGGGAAAAGCCCGCGGAAGCCTTGGGAGTAGGTGATGGCTCTCTTTCGAATAACTCTAGACACAGGTGTATCTTCTCCACGCACCTGGGAACAGGGGAATGAGCAATGTGAACTCATAAAACTGAGTTAAGGAAAGAGGAGATACTTAGTCTCTCTTTGTGTGAGTGTGCATTGATCGATTTCCATGGTTGTGGTAAAGTGGTAATGCATCTATTGCGCTGTACACATAATTCATGCCTGTTTCTGAGAGCAGAAGCCTGAGGTTGTTTTTGGCTAGAACTCAGCTGATTTGGGTTAGTACATGCACAGCCTTTTTTTGGAGGCAAGAGAGCGTGAGCACTCCTCAGTGGCTGTGTTAATGCCAAAGACACCTGCGGTCCTGATGCTTGTTTAACCAGCAGCTGAGCTAGTGTGAAAGCCCCCTGCTGACCCCCTGGGTTGCCGGCCGCCTGCTCAGGTGTTGGGTGCAGGACCCTGGCTCAGCAGTCAAGCTCGGCGGAGTAGGGTGGTAAGGATGCGGGGAGGGGAAGGGAGCGGAGACCTACTCACTGGTAGCGCCAGCCCCAGGGCTGGGCAAACCCGCCAGGGGCGCAGGGAAGTGCGTTAACCTATACCACTGCTGCAGTGTGGGGTCCTGGGTTTGGATACGGAAAACAAAAACACTGTAGGATTTGGAGGATCTGGTGTGGGAGGAAAATGTCCTGTCCCCTGTGCAGTCTGTTAGCACGCTCCCCAATACTCTCTAGTTTCTACCCCCTTTTAGGCTAGCGATGCGAAGGACTGCTAGAGTGCCAGGGTTGTGGGCAGGCATGCCAGAAGTACCCTAATGGATCCTAGGACCAGCTCCTTCCCGCGGCAGTCACCTTGCTGGTTGTATCTAACTGAAGTCCTTTTAGAGCCCAGGACTGCTGCTCACCCTGCCTGAATCCAGCCAGGAGGCTCAGGCCCCCATTGGACGGGGCAGCGAAAAGGTTGTAGGCGTTCAGGCGCTGAAGAGGTCGAACGTGACGCCAAACTGTCCCTTTTGCTCACACATTCTGGACGAATCTACTCTCTCTGTCTCCTTACCCCACCCCCACTCTGTTCCTCAGCAATGACCTCAAGGCAAAGATAGCCAGTGGACAGCTGCCTCTCTGCTGCAGCAGAGTAGGTAGCTCCAGCTATGACGCCTATGCCGCTATGAAGCTCAGCCGGTCAGAGCTCTGATTGGCGGAGAGATTTGTGACCCCCCCCCCCCCAAGACCAGAGAATAAGAGACCGGGACTCTGGGGACAAGGCGACTACAGCCGTGTGTGCTCTTCTCCAGTGGACACTTGGGCTCTCGCTGTGCCAACACTCGGGTTACCAGGTGAGGAACTAAATTTTCAACTCGTTCAGCTTACTCGCCATTAGTTTGTCTACTTCATTGTTGTTCTTTTTGAAGCAATATTTCATACTGTAGTAATTCAGGCTGGCCTGGAAACTCACTGTATAGCTCTGGCTGGTCTCGAACGCGCTGCGACCCTCCTTTCTCAGCATCTCTTACAGACGCACGCTGCCACCACAGCCAGCTCTACTTGGCTCCCTTTGGTGGCCAGGTTCTTTATTCCAAATCCATGTCTGCCTTCCTCCAGCTGGGGATCAGTCAGAAAGTGCAGTCATGACATTTTATCTTGGAGTGAATGGGTTGTAAAGCACACCCGCAGGAGTACGCAGCCGCTGGAAGCTGGGCGAACCCACCTAGGCGTGTTCGTGTCTGTGGCTACTCCTTGGGGGCAGGTGGTCTTGCCACACCCTATCCAATTTGGGGATGGGAGGTCCTTGGATCCCGGGCTAGGGAGCATAGATCTTTCCTCTCAGATGTTTCCAGCCTTTAGAGCCCTAGGGTCATCAGCAAGCGTCTGGGGTGCAGCGGGGAGAGGAATCCAGCGCCAGGTGCTAAACAGTACTTCTGCGGTTCTGAGATAGTTTAACTGGGACTCAAAAAATTCTCCCAACTCCCAACTGCAGATGGGGAGATTAGTTCTTTCCAAGCTACCTTTCCAGCCTCCTCAGGGCAACTGCTCAGAAAAGGTGGTCCTACATTTTCAGCCTGTGAGAAACCCAAAGCAATGGTACATCAAGTCCACTTCAGGGGGCTCTGGGTGGTTCTTCACAGCTCAGAGCAAAAGGGGCATTGGCGCGCGTGCGCAGCCGCAAGCTGGGGCAAAAGAGTGCCGGTAGTTCCTCCGAATACAGAACAAAGAATGCAAACTGCTTTATGAAGACATTCACTACACTGTATCTTTTGATTTCCCTAACAGACCTCTGGCAAACAAAGGACAGTGGTGGGGGAGGTGAAGGAAAAGTTAGCAGGGCACTTGTGGCAGGGGCAGGACTAGAACCTAGGTCTATGGTCCTCGTGAGTGGACCAGTCTTCTCTTTCTACAGAGACATCATGGGCTTCTGGAAGTTCTTTCCCTTTCTGGCTCTCAGCAGCGTATGGATCCTGTGCCTGGCCAGCAGCAGCCAGGCAGCCCCTTTCAGGTAAATTAGCTTGAATCAGGAGTGAAGCTTGACTCCCCTCCACCTGCTGGGGATCTGTGAACTGTGGCTCAGCAGCCCCTACTTGGTTACTGGTAAATCAGCGCCCTCAGGTGGGCACTAGCCTCATGACCTGAGCACAAAACCCCTGGGGAAGAAGCGGGGACCAGGAAGCTGGGCTGCTTACTTGGGGAGGAGAAAGGCAGGGAATGAGAATCTATGCTAGGTTTGCTACCTCCACAGGTCAGCCTTGGAGAGCAGCCTAGACCCGGCTACCCTCAGCGAACAGGAAAAGCGCCTCCTGCTGGTTGCACTGATGCAGAACTACTATGAGCAGGCCAGGAAGCTGGAGCAGGAGGAGCAGGAGGCTGAGGGCTCCAGGTAAGGTTCCTCCTCATCTGGCCCCTATAGATTCAGGAGGACCTGTTCCAGAGAGGTACAGAGACACTGGCCAGTACTCCAAGGAACTAAGCTAACTGTTCCCAGCCTCCGTGGAAGACAGAGGTTTCGGTGCCACCAGAGGGACTCATATGGGTTAGACACATTAAAATTTTGTTGTCTCCTGACAACTTTTGGGAAAGGAAATGAGATGTAGACTCGCTTACTGTGTCTATGGGGCTACTTCGCTGCACTGGCTGGAGGAGGGCAGTAAGTATGATGCCAGAGGATAGACTAGAATGTCAGGGAGTTTCAGTAGCTTCCAGGATCTGTTGTTCCTTCATGATGGCAAAGAGCCTTTATTTCACCTTTCAAGGGGAGTTGGAAGGGTAGAGCGGTCTGTGACGTGTACAACAGTATCTGAGGTAGGTCCAGGGCATCTGTAGAGGTGTGCACTTAGTTATAGGGTCAGTGGCCTGTGTGCCCCATGCCTGGAAACAGACCAACTCTGGCCTGGCTCCAGCACTACCCAAGGAAAAGCATGTGTTGACCTGCACCCCCACTCCACCCCTTAGAAATCCCTGATAACATGAAAGACAGAACAGCATGTGGAATGCCAGAGTCACCCTTTTCCTTTGCCCTTCCCCACACTGTCCTGGCCCACTGCACCCCCAAACCTTCCCAGTCGACTATGTGAACTGACCTCCTACCACCTCCTGTCCCAACTTCTAGTCCCCTGCCTGGTTTAACCTGATGATTGCCCCTGGGATCAGCCCCTGGTGGTATGGGAATGCAAATACATGATTTCTGGACATGTAGATAGAGGATTTGAACACCTTTCCTACCTTCTCTGGTGTGGACTTGGGCTTGAAGCACCAACAAGAAAAGAACACAGCAGGTCGCTTGCAGAGGGTCTGAAGTGTCCAGGGTGCCACCAAGCTCTTCCGTGTCCTTCCTGGCTTTCTCTCTTGCTCTTACCTTTGAACTTGCTGCATGTGCATGTGTCTGTTCTGAGGTTGGCAACAGCAGATTCGAGTGTGACTGAGAACGTCAGTGACTTGGGATGGGAAGGGAGAAGACAGAAGCCATAGACCACATTTGAGGTAAGAGACAGTGAGAGAACCTTCTGGAGCATTTGGATAACTTTTCACTTCCTGCTTCTGAATATTGAAATAAGCACATCCCTTCCATCTCAATCATTTCTTTTTACTGGAAGAATCAAGAGTTGTAGTGATCATTGCTTTGGTCAACTTCTGAAGCTTGCAAGTGGCCAGGGCCTAGGAAATAGCTTTAGCTTCAGGGGAGCTGGGCACAGGGCTTGATGGACCATCTCTGCGATGCAGCTCTGGCAGCAAGCAGCTTGGTAATGATCAGATAAACACTTCTGAGACGATGCTGGAACCGATGTTCTTAACTTTAGCAAGGTAAGAATTTTATTTATTTATTTATTTATTTATTTTATTTGGTGATGGTTTGGGGAAGAGTTTCTGGCAAAGACTCTCAGGTCATTTCCCTGAATAGCTTTGATAAATGGACTTAGGAGAAACACTGTTGAGTGGCATGTTGAAGGGATGGAGTTCTCAGGGGTAGGCTCCTCCCCAGCTCTCACTAAAAAGACTTGTCTTCTTTTTCCGTCCTGAATATCAGCATCACTGGCCAGAAGAGATCCTGCAACACTGCCACTTGTGTGACCCATCGACTAGCGGGCTTTCTGAGCAGATCAGGAGGTGTGGCGAAGGACAACTTTGTGCCTACCAATGTGGGCTCCAACACCTATGGCCGGCGCCGCAGGGACCTTCATGCCTGAATAGCTAATGGCCCCCGAGGAGGAGGTGATTTTGCTCTCTGGGTTGGGAGGGGAAGGATGTGGGGGCAAAGACCCACATCCCAAAGCCCACTGACAGTGAGTGGTAGGGCCTTCGGGTCCCCTATCTCTAATACTAGTCTTTTTCCTGAGGTAATGAGTTCCTTCTCAAACTGAACTTGAAATTAAAATCAGAATGGCAGGAGAGATTGCCTGGAGGCAGTGCCTTGTTGCCAATGAGAGAAAGGAAGAGAAATGCTGTCTGGATTTGGAAAGGAAGGGCCAAACCTTACCCATTGCTGGGACTCACAAATGAGTGTAGCTTCTGCAGGGTTCTACTCTTGGTTGTTGTTCCCCAGTTCAGATCAGAGGGCTATGAGCACACCACTACCCATATCTTTAGTATCTTTTCTATTTTTTGAGAAAGTTTCAAGCAGCCCAGGCTGGCTTCCAGCTCAGAATATAGTGGCTGACTTTGAATTCCTGATCATCCTGCATCAACTTCAAAATGCTGAGATTGTAGGGTCTCCAGGGAACCTAGGACTTTTTAAATATTAATATTGACGGTACTATAAGCCTCATACTCCAAGTTCAGAATTCTTGGATGTTGCTTAGCTGAGGAGCCATTTATGTAAATCGGCACTGTTAGGGTTGATTGTGGTCACTCACCTGTCTGTATCCTTCTTCTTTCCCTTGCTCTCTCCTCTTCTCTCTCTCTTTCTCTCTCTCTCTTTTTTTTTTTTGCCTTTTCTTCCTTTCCTTCTCCTTTTCCTTTTTGTGTCTCTTCATTTCAGGTTATGTGAAGCAGAATTCACCATGCCTATTAATTTTTGTTAACAGCGACCTGGAAAGAGGGCCCCATGGACAATGTTGTGTATGCTTTCATCCTGAAAGATACTGGAGAAAATCACTGTTGTCACCTGAGAGGAATGAAATTGAATATAAATTAGTTAATTCTGTGTTTGTTTGCATCATTTTTATGCTGAGTCTGTGGCCAGTCCATGTGGTGGTGTCTCCCACTGGCTTCCCTAGCAGCAAACCACACAGGTTCTTTGAGAGCCACCCAACTGATGGTGGCAGCTCTGTTGACCCTTAGGGAGATGTGAGATCACTGCCTCTTGTAGCCTCTGGATGACTCGTGGTAGAGGAGATACTGTGCCTTGGTGTCTCAGAATATTTATTTAAGGAAAAGTCAAAATTGTACCATTTGTGAACTTCATCAAGATTAAAACATATTTTGGATACATTTGTTTTGAGTCTGTGGTGGTCCATTTCAATTTGTTTTCCTATGTAATAATAATAATAGTAATAATAAAAAATACTTTTGAGTGTTCAATATTATTCAGTGTTCTAAGAAATTGTTGTATACCTGTGAATTGGTTTAATCTTCCTGGCCAAGCCATAGGAAGATAATCACATTTGAGGAGATGAAGGCATGGTGAGGAGAGATTCAAAGTCCCATTAATAAACTTTGCAAAACCTGTGATGGTTTTCAGAGCACACAGTAGAAACCACCATGCCTTATGTTATTAACAGGGTCTTCTGACATTTTCCAGATATCTGTGAGCCATCCTTTGGCCTTCCTGCCTGACATGATAGGCCCTTACATTTTGGAGACACATAAAAATTTTAAGCATGTAATGTTTCAGTTCTTATATAGTATAATGAAGTCTCTGTACCACTTATTTGGTTTCAAGAAAAATCAGAAGTAGTGTTGCTACATCTACAGCCCATCTCTTCTCCTACCCAGTGTATTACTGTATGTCTATAGGGATTTCACCATGCATTTTTAAATGGGAAAGATGTTGAACATAACTTAGGCCTAGTTAACAAGAAAAATGAGCACATTCATTATTTCTTAATTCTTTACTCTCACAATGCAGTAATGGTTTAACTTTCCCCAGTTCTTTATACATCTACGTATAAAGTCTTGGCTGATGTTGAGTCATTATATTGCTTTTGGTTCATACCTTAAGGCCTATTTGATATAGAGGTTCCTTTCCATCTGTTTACCTCTTGCAACTCATTGGCATGAGAGACTAGGTTATATGTACAATAGTTTCCTCTATTGCTGTGGTGAGGATTACACAAAGTTTCTGTGAATTGGCAGGCAGACCTCGAGTGAGTGATGTGGAAGAAGCTGATGGAGGCCAGAGATGAAACAGTGACTGATATGCAGGATTCTGTAGGACCCATAAAAGACCTTGGATTTCTGTCAAGTTCTAGTTGAAAAAACAAATTATATTGGTCATTTTAACTGGAAATATTTAATGTAACAATGGCATGCATGGGTGTTAGAGTACTGAGAAGACTGAAGAGAATGTGGATTACAGAGAAGCTTGGAGAAGGATTCTTTTTTTTTTTTTTTTTTTCAAGACAAGAGTTTTTCTGTGTAGCTTTAGAGTCTGTCCTGGAACTCACACTGTAGACCAGGCTGACTTTAAACTCACAGAGATCTGCCTGCCTCTGCCTCCCGAGTGCTGGGATTAAAGGCATGCACCAATACTTCCTGGCCTCGGAGAAACCATTGAGAAAGGAAATTAGCAGATCCAGTATCTCTTGGTTGGGGGTTGGGGTAATGTAAGGCTGTTTTGAGAATCCAAATGCAGATATCCCATGGGTGAGAAGGGGAGAAGGTGCATCCAGAATGTTCTAGGAATTCAGAAAAACTAAACCAAACTAGGGATTGGAAACAGCTTCATTGCCAGAGAAAGTCAGTACACGAGTGATACTCTTGGAAACAGAAATTGAAATTGGAAGGAGCCAGATCCTTCTTGGTTTTGGCTTCTGGTGTCCTTTTAGGAACTCCATTTGAGAGTCTAAAGGGGTCTAGCTGGCAAAAGAAGATGTGTCTGGCAGAGTCCCAGCCCTAAGATCTCATTTCAGATATGTAATTTTATATTTACATATTGAAAAGATCATTAGTTTTGTGTGTAGTTCTGGGAGCAAATCCTTGAGCCATGGAGTCAGCACAATGAGGACATAAAGCAATTACATCATTCACCAATTCCTCCTGCTTCCCTCTGCACTCAGTTGCTCCCTCAACCACAGTCTCTGTTGATCAATCTCTATGAGCTTGACTCCTCCAGAATGTCATCTGTAGTAGTACCTTTTTGTTGGGATTGTCAGCCCACAAATAATGACATGGAGACTTATTAATTATGAAGGCTTAGCCTGTTTTTTCCCACCTAGCTCTTATAATTAAATTAACCTGTTTCTATTAATCTGTGTCCTGCCATATGGCTCAGTTTACCTCTCCTCTGTACCACATGTATGTCTTCTTTAGTGTCTTGCTGGTATCTTTCTCACATTGTGTAGTAGATTCATCCTGAGTTCCTCTTTCTGCTCAGAAGTCCCACCTATTATCTCCTGCCTTGATATTCAGCTCTTTATTAAACCAATCAGAAGGCACCGTAGGCAGAGACACATCTTTACAGTGTACACAAATGTAAGTTGATGGTTTTGTGGCTGGGCTGGTGGCCCAATCCCTCCATTGGAAGCCTTGTCTGCCTGCTTATAGAAGATGGCCAGTTCAGATACCATATCCACTATACTAGAATACTTTGATAAGTCACTCTTGAACATTCCAGGGAGTTTTCACTGCACTGTTTCCACATTGCCTCCAAAATATCCCCAATTCCAGTTGTCTCTCCCAGTATTCTCTCCCTCCACTCCCCTCTGTCTGATCCCTCCTATTTCCAATCCCACACACATCCAGTCTAATCACAAAATCTATTCTATTTCTTCTTCCCATGAAGATCCACAAGATCTCCCCTTGAGCCCTCAGGGTCTGTGTTAACCTCACTAGGGATGGTTTTTTTCTAGTTCCATCCATCTGCCTGCAAATTTCATTATGTCATTATTTTTAGTAGTCAAGTAATACTCCATTGTGTAAATGTATCACATTTTCTTTATATCTAAGTTGTTTCTAGTTCCTGGCTATTAAGAATAAAGCAACTATGAACATAGTTGAGCAAGTGTCTGTGTGGTACAATGGAGCATACTTAGGGTATATGCCCAAGAGTGATATATCTGGGTCTTGAGGTAGACAGATTCCTAATTTTCTGAGGAACTGCTATATTTACATAGTGGTTGTACCAGTTTGCACCTACTAGCAATGGAGGAGTGTCCCCTTGCTCTAATCCTTTCCCATATGAACTGTTTTCTATCTTAACTATTCTTATAGGTGTATAATGGAATCTGAAAGTAGTTTTGATTTGCATTTCCCTGATGGCTAAGGATGTTGAACATTTCTTAAGTGTTTCTCAGCTATTTGAGACTCCTTTATTGAGAATTCTCTCTTTAGATCTGTACCCCATTTTTTTGGTTTTAATGGTTAATTAAACCAGGATTTAATTGGTTAGTTGATGTCTAGTTTCTTGAATTCTTTATATATTTTGGATTAGTCCTCTATCACATGTGGAGTTGGTGAAAATCTTTTCCCATTCTGTATGCTGCTGTTTTGTCCCATTGACAATGTCCTTTGCCTTACAGAAGCTTTTTAGTTTCATGAGGTCCTATTTATTAATTGTTGATTTTAGTTCCTGTGCTATTGGTGTTCTGTC